GGGCCACAGGCAGGGAGCTGGAAGGGAAGCAGGGCTGCCGGGATTAGAACCGGCGCCCATATGGGATCCTGGGCGTGCAAGGCGAGGACCTTAACCACTTGCGCCACCGCGCCGGGCCCAAGGTAAGGACTTTAATCACTACGGTATTGTGCCTGGCCATTCTCCTGTGAATTTAATTGGAATTCCTTTATATATCAGTTGATTATTTTCATGAGCACATCTAAGAATCTTTTCCTTATGTTTGATTGAAGAGAGCTTGAGTATCATGTGTCACAGTAAAGATTACTTTTGGTCAACTTTGTTGGGAGTTCTATGCCAACCTGAATGTTGTTCCCAATTATTTCTCTAACTTAGGGAATTTTTCCCTCATTATTTCGTTGGATACACATTTAATCCCAGTTTCTCTTTCTGCACCTTCTGCGACTCCCATAACTCTTAAATTAGGCCTTTTAAGTGTGTCTCTCAATTCTTAATTACTTTTTTTTAGTATGATCCAGCTCTGCTTCTAGATTATTGTCTGTTTCTCCCTGATGACAGGAAATATCTTCTGGTTTTGAAATTCCCTCTTCTGCGTCCTTCATTCTATTTTGGAGATACTCCACTGTACTTTTAATTTGCTTTACTGTATTCTTAATTTCTGATATATCAGCTTTCATTTGATTCATTTCCAGTGTGACATGTTCCTTGAATTCCTTGAATGCCTGCTTTATGTGCTTCTCATTGTTGATAAATTGTATAACAAGTGCTTTGAATTCTGTATCCCCCATTTTCTCAATGTATTCCTCAGTGAACTCTGAGGTTGCCAAAGGCTTTGCTCCTTTGCAGGGGAGTCTTCAGTAATATTCATGGTGCCTCTGTCTCTTCTTTTGATCTTGGTTATTGTACTTCTGGTTAGCATGTTCTTCTCCTTAAGGTAGGTTTCTATGCTGTGTCTCCCACAGATCTATAGTTTGTTTTTACTTATTGCAGTTGACACATGGTTCTTTGTTTGCAGTCATTTGTGCCACTCCCTCCAGCAAGTTCCAGGTCTGAGGTGTTATGATAGATTTCCACCAAGGTCTCAGTAGCCTCAGCTCCTGCCTCACCAGACTTCACCTCCTGTGATACTGTACAACCTTTCTCCCACTTCCTGTTGGAGCAGGTCCCAGGATTAGGGAGACACCAGGTGTCCTATATAGCTAGGTTGTTGTTGGTGGTGATCTTTCTGGAACCTGTTGGCCGTTAGGTCTAAAGGCCACATGGACCTATTTTGACCTTTACGATGCCATAGTCAGTGTTATTTCCCTGTGGGACCAGTGCACTGCACAGCTCACTATTGTCCCTGCAGTATTAAAGTTTTTCCACACTGTACAAAATGGCACCTTATGTGCTACTACTAGAGTTATTGATCTGCTGGCTGTCAGGTCTGAAGTCTACCAGGATCTGTCTTTGGTGGAACCTGCAGGATGCCACGTTGTGATGCCACGTTGTTGTAGTTCACTGAGCCAGAAATGAGTTCACTCCAGGTCAGTGCAGCGCAGTACTGTCCATAGCCTTTTCCTCCTTATACCAAATAGCACCTGATTCAGCTTTGGGGGCAGACTGGGTTGTGAAATCTACCCTGTTCCAGTATTGCCTGTTGGGATCTGCCTCTCTGTCTCTGCTCCCAGTCAAATCAAACAGACCAGCAGGACAGGCAGTTCTTTGTCTGGGTTTACCTCCTGAGCTGGTGAACATCACTTCCCACATTGTTGCTGGTGGAGTTCTGGCTGTTGGTGCAATTCAGATTGCTACTGGCTCAATGCCACTGGCACATCAGTCACTGCAACACCACACCGTTGTGTTTGCTGCTTTCCTGTGCCTGTCAGTCTCCAGGTGCCCCTCTGCTGTTGTTCTATCTTCTGCTATTTCCTGGAATGTGCCCTCTTTGCTTCACACAGGCTAATGTTTAAATGAATGTGTCCTTACCCTATTCCACCCAAACTATCCCATTTGTACATGAACCCAAAGACTTCCATGAGTACATTTTTTATGCTCCTTAACAACTTTGTTTCTAATAAAAATTAAGCAGAATCTGTAGTTTGGTCTGAGTATAGATGCACCATATCTCCAGTATTAATCCAAGTTTGATGTATGCAATATTGGAACTGCTCTGTTATCACCACTCCTGTCTCAGTGAAAGAAACTTCCATGCTAAGAAAAGCACAGGGTTTGGCATGTAGACCTAACTTGTTAGGCTTGGAACACACCTTTAAGATTTGTTAACCTTGACATAGCACTATTTTGGTCAGGATACTTTTAAACATTTTATTAATTTTGTTTGAATATAAATCTACATAGAAGGTCATTTATATTCTATTTTCTTTACTCGAGACTCTAGACTGTTTTCAGTTTGTCCTGGGAATCAAAATCTAAGATATGCTGTGATTTAATTACTTCAAAAAGCAAATTCTGACTTGATTAGCTAAGATAAACCACAATACCTGAAGATGTAAAAACAGATTGTGGTTGTAATGCATTTGATTTTATAAGAGGAAATTATTATTAAATTAATCAACCTTGTTGCAATGAACTTCACTTATTAAATGTTGCAACTACAAATTATCAATCCCACTACATGTCCTAAGGATGAATAACTGTTCTCCTTACATCAAAATGCTTGATAACAATTACTGAAAACACAGTGCATAGTGTTGGGAGTCAGAAAGCAATGTCCCAAATAACAAATCTCTCACAGTCGCTGTGTGTTAGTAGGATCAACTGACACGCCTAGGCCATTGTATGTTCTGTGAATTCATTGTGTTCCCCTAAGAACCATTTACTCGTTTCCCAAAACTCCCAATTTTCCTTGTTTTATATAGACAAGAGGGATATATGAGTTTCTGAATGAAGTGGCACTCCTATGATTTTTCCCTATGCTGTGTTCCATTCTCTCCCTTTGCAGTTAATAAATGTTTACACTTTTCTAATTAATCTGTGTTTTGTTTATTCCAGCTGGCCTGTGGAGAAGAGGTACATGATATTTCTCCTCTCAGGCCCAGTGTGATAGCCTAGTGGCTAAATCCTCATCTTGCATTCTACAGGATCCTTTATGGTTGCTGGTTTGTGTCCTGGCTGCTTTGCTTCCCATCCAGCTCCCTGCTTGTGGTCTGGAAATGCACTAAAGGATGGCCCAAAGCTTTGGAACCCTGTACCTGTGTGGAAGACCTGGAAGGAGTTCCAGGTACCTGGCTTTGGATCAGCTTAGTTCTGGCCTTTGTGACCAGTTGGAAAGTGAACCAGTGGGTGGTGGATCTTTTCTCTCTATACATCTTACTTTCCCATAAAAAAATCTTAATAATAATTAAAAAAAGAATTTCACCTTTCCTATTACAATACCTTCTACCAATTAGATAGATCTAGCATATGCAATTTTTAAAAAAGATTTATTTATTTTTATTGAAAGGCGGATATACAGAGAGGAGGAGAGACAGAGAGGAAGATCTTCCTTCCGATGGTTCACTCCCCAAGTGACCACAATGGCAGCAGGTGAACCAATCCAAAGCCAGGAGCCAGGAGCTCCTCCAGGTCTCCCATGTGGATGCAGGGTCCCAAGGCTTTGAGCCGTCCTCAACTGCTTTCCCAGGCCACAAGCAGGGAACTGGATGGGAAGCGGGGCTGCTGGGATTAGAACTGGTGATCATATCAGTTCCCGGGCATGCAAGGTGAGGACTTTAACCACTACACTATCATGCCAGGCCCTCGCATATGCAATTTGAATGAAAAGTGTATGGTCTTGAATACTTCACTTGGTTGTGATATACAAGGACTTAAATGGAAAGCCATGGCTTCACATCAGGAGAGCATGATTTTTAGGTTGGTATTCATGACTTGGAGACAAACCAAAGGTTTGAATCTGGAATAGGAACCACTGTATGATGTGGATGTGAGAGACAGTATTTACTGTTGAAAGTTTTGATCTTTACTTTTACAAATGTTGAATTAAAATTAGTGAATAAGTGTATACACACAAAATTAGGGAATGAATTCATCTCAAATTACTAAAACTTGAGCTAATGGTTGTAGACTTCAATTTCCCCATATCAGATCTTTCAATGTGCCTTAAAATTTCAATGCACTTGAACAGATAGCCTTTTATTTGTATTGTTTCTTTGTCCTGAAATAAGCACTATTGCGATCTTGTTCTCAACAATACACCTCATTCTATCCTCGAGATTCCCTGAACTGCCAAACTGGAAATTTGGCATGCATAATGTGTGATTGAATGCTGTGTCTTTATAGAATTATTTATTTCCCATATTTTGCTATGTTATACATATGTGTTTTAATTTATTTTAAATGAAGGAGATAATATGGGTTATGTATAAGCACCATGCTTTCAATGTAATCAGTGTTAAATATGTATTTTGCTAAATTAATAACACAACTTATTTTTTCTTGCTCCACAAATGCACACATAGATATTACAATGAAACATGATAAATTTAAAAAACTTGCAAGTAGGTAATATTCGTTGTGAATACTGAGATTGGACTTGGTTGCTTGTAGATTATTAATGATTAGTTTGCAATAAATGCAAAAGCAGAAAGTGAAGAATTTATTCATGCAGAAAAACCTCAGATTGGAACCAGCAGGGAAAACAGGAAGGGAGTTTAAATGGGTAAGACAGCGCTTAGTCCCAGGTTTCTGTTGGGGGACTCAATCATGTCATCATGAGCTCAGTTTTGTCAAGCTATCAACTCTAAACCATATCCTTTACAATTGAAGCAGCTGATGAACTCAGTCTCTCATTCCAGCAGTAAAAGAGCTTTAAAACATCACTTCATAATTTACCAGGACAGGCTGGGTAGCACAGAGAAGAAATCACTGGTGTCCATACATAATTACTGAAAATTGTGATCTTTAGCATAAATAACCTGCAGTGAAATTCATAAAAATATTGGAATAAAATAAACTAAGGCAAAGATACCATACCAATGACATCTCCTCCTCTCTATGGAGCATTGTAATTGTTATAATAGTTATTTTATCTCAGTGTTGCAGTTACAAGTAGCATTGCAGAGTAATTTGAGGGATGAGTGCCTGCATCCTAGTGCTTTCACTCGTGTCTCACAGTTGGTGAGTTCATCATAGAAGAGGCAGGGATTAGCTGAAAGAAAACAGTACATTTATATAACATTGTCTATTTAAAAGATCTATTTGTTTATTTGTTTGCTAAAATATAATGTGAAATAGAGAGAGAGAATTTATCAACTGACTAAGTGCCTGCAGCAACCAAGACAGGTTTAGGCTGAACCCAGAGGCTTGGAACTCAATAGCATTCTCTTATATGTTTCACTAAAATATGTTTCTCATATTTTCACTAAAAATTTTTTGTAGAAATACAATTACAAATATCAGATATAGATCCTTTTTTCAATCATACAATTGCTCTTTTTTTGGTAAACATCAATGCCATTGGCAATATAAATTAAAACAATTAATTCTATTAATTCCCTTTTGATTTATTTAATAATGTATAATTTAATATTAAACTGTTGCTGTGCATTACTAGAAGTAATATATATAAAGTTAAAACCAAATTGAAAGTACACATTAAGTGTAGAATATCTCTTCATCCAAGATGCATTTTAAATAACATAACATGATATTTTTCAACTTATTCTACCCCATAACATCTGTACACATACATATCAAGTATATTTAAGAGTGAAATTATGCACATCAGTATGAAGAATTCTAATATTTTAAGCATACACTTATTTAATTATTTTTGAAAGAAAGAGAAATCCAGATAGCAAAAGAGAGAGATCCCATCCACTGGCTCACTCCTGAACACCTGTAACAGCCGAGACTGGGCCATGCTGAAGACAGGAGTTCGGAACTCGGAGTCTCCCATGTGGGAGAAAAGGACCGGTCTACTTGAGTTTTTTCTGAGAGTGCACATTAGCAAGAAGCTTGGATGGAACGTAACAGGCTTCAAACCAGGACACTCTGAGCTATGATGGAAGCATGCCATGCAGCATTTTTACTGCTGCATTGAACAAGAGCCCCAAATACTTTGCAATTTAGAACTGTAATAGCAATGAAAAATTTGCTAAAACATCCTTTAATGTGAGTTTTTCTATTAAAATTAGTCAAGGATTTTTATATTTGAAGGCAAACGTGCCTGTAATTTCTTTTCCTCCTTTAATATATTTTTTAGAATTTGATTAAATCTTCATCATTTAACTATCAAGTAAAAATTTCCAATCTTTTCATTGTTAGTGATATAGATCAGCTGTGTTGAGTTAATAAAAATTTTAAAAGCTTTGCACCCACATTTATGTGTTTTTAAATTATTTTTATCCATATTCTCCCATTTTCTCACTCCCCCAAAATTGACTTATCTTTCAGTTGCATGGATAATGATTATATTAGATTTATTAAAATGTGACAGAGATGGTATGTGTCACATTAAGGCCCAAGTCACTTACAGATGAAAGCATATATCTGATTGCTTTTTTTATGATCAGTAATTGACAAGGTTATTACAACACATTGTCTTTAATCAGTTACTCATTGCTAATGCAATGTATTCTGTTATGCAATAGTCTTGGAATGATGAGTTTTTCTTTATAAATGAAATATTTCTTCTCTAAGAAATTTTAGAGCATCTTTTATTTTTTTCTGTTTATATACTTAGCTCAATTTTATAAATATTTTTAGGAATTATTTTTGCCTTGTATTCAAATTAAATGGATTGTATCTACATATCCAGGTTTAAAAATTTTAGTATCAACTTTACTGAATATAGCCAATTATTAGAGTCATGTGTTTCATTTATACTCATTACTTGCAAGTTACAAAATTTATCTCAGGATATCCACCAAAGAATATTCTAGAACAATAATTCTCTTTCTTATTTTTCTCCTATTTCTGTGACTTTTTTTTCATGTCACAGCAAACATTAGTCTTTTCTGCTGGATTAAAAAATACCACTCCTCATTCCTTCTGCTAAGGTACAGATGACTGGCTGGTACTTTAAAGGGAGAGACAGTTGTTTTCAGCTACACTCCTTCTCAGGAATGGAATATGGAAAAGTAAAATCAAGATAAAAAAATAAAATCAGAGGAGATTTGAAATTATGAATCCACTCTATCTGAGGGATTAAGGAAATATGCTTGCAGAGAGGCTGTTTTTTTTTAAAGAAAGGAATTTTACAGTCAATGATGGTTGTGATGAATGGAGACACACATGTGGTTAATACCTAATCTGAAGTTAGACATACTTATGAAACAAAAGGTGATGCTTTAAAGGCAGTGTGAGCACCAGCTAAGCTCTTACTTCCCGGGTGTTTCAAAGGAAACAGTTCGGTCTCTCATTAAAAAAAAAAAAAAGTTCAGGGCACCAAAAGTGAACAGGCAATTAGGGAATCCCCCAGTGAGAATACTGATGAAGAAAGCAATGCACCAGTTTGTGAACTATATTAAGGAGTTTAGAAATGTCTTTAAAGCTGGGGGAAAGAAAACACGGCACTTAAGCATTTTACTCAGATTAACCTTAATTAATCTTCTGAATAAGGGCTCAAGCTCTCACACCTGGACATTCCAAGGTTCACTACCATTAATTAAATCATAGATTTTCTTTCATTAGTATGAGGATTGGGGGAGTTAAAGAGAAATAATTCTAATATTTCTTACAGTAAGTTTGAGATGAAAGTTTGAGATGAAAAAAGAGAAGTGCAATGCTGCTCAGTGATTAATATAGACAGATATCCAGATCAATGGGTTAAGTTTAAGAAAGTTGAATTTGTATCACTTGTAACACTTACTGCAAAGCTTATCATCACAGTGAGTTGGACAGTCTCCACAAGGTGTGCCCTTCTTATAGGGCAAATAAATTCTTTCAGGATCATTTCCCCTTAAAGAAGGAAACAAAAAGTTGTCAAATATATAAAATTTTACTCTCTACCAAAAAACAAAATTTGAAAATTAATCATGCTTACAGACTTGTAAATAGCCAGTAGCACTAATTGTTAAGAGGAACGTGGTATATCTATATACACACAAACATGTACATACATGTGATTTTTAAGCAAATGCAACCAGTGATTTTGATTTACCTAAAAATATTTTCCAGAGGATGTGCATCTCTTTCTGTACAGTCACATCCCTAATCATACTTGGGACTACTGATTGTCAATTTCTGACAAGAGCAGAGCATTATAGCCAGCTACGGTAAGATGCTCTCTTTGTTGAGTTTTTCAAGATATTATGGAAAGCAGCATGGCAATGTTACCTTTTAATTATTAACACTTGCATATTTTATGGGGCCCAATGCAAAATTTTAACACATATACTCAGTGGAAATTATCAAATGAATTAATTGGCATTTTATTTTTCTTTTTTATATTTGCAGCCTGGGAACTCGACTTCCCCAGTTTTTATATGGTCCGTGGTGTATTATTGTCAAACACAGCCCCCTCCATATACCATGAAACATTAGAATTTTTCTAAGTGTATTTTGGTATCTGCTGTACATTTAAGTTTGTTTGCCACTCCATTTCCACTCCATTTCGGCCCACATGGGCCTCCCATGTGGATTGCAGAGGCTAGATCAGAGGCAGAAAACCTCAACCTGATGTCCCAGAATCCTGGCCTCAGAATTCCAGGTCTTGAATTCTAAGCCCATTACTGTTTTTGATGAATTAAATATCCCTGTGCTTTTGCTTAAATTAGCTTCCAAGAAACTTGTGTCTTTGTGTGAATAGCTTCTTACTGCAGAATCATCGACAAATGGCAAGACTACTGGTAATTCAGTCTGAATTGTTATGGCCTATTAATGTGATATTAGAACTTTAAGAAAAAATATAGTATAGAAATATAAAGATACATGTGCATGTGAATGACTCTGTGAAATTTTGTAGGCATTGATAGAGTCATTTATCTATAAAGTTCTACCTAATTTAAAAAAATGTTTTCTTCTACAACTTTTGAAAAAAGTTTTAAAAGCTGTGAGAATTTGGTGACACGTACTCATGACAATAGTGACAAACATAGAGATAGTGAAATAGCTTTTCTTTTCGACATACTGCAACACCACAGCCAATGAGGTAAGAACTGGCCCAAACGAGCTGTAAAGATAAAGGAATTATTTTATTACTCATTTGACATTATTCATTTGATATTAAATGAATACAATATCTATGCTTTCATTCTGTTTAAATGTGTGAATTCTTGTTTTTAGGATTGCTTAGAACACACTTATTAAAAAGTCCTAGAATTAATAGGAGTCCTACAGGTCTTGATAATGCACATATATATCCCTGGTTACTGACAGTAAAAATTAAAAATCATGCAGAATAATCCAGCTTGATTGGGTAGAAAATTACTACTTTTTATATTTGTGTATTTGTCTTTGGATATACACATACACACACATTGAGTATTTCTAATTAAGAATCCTCAACATTCCTTTTGTATGGGATATGAGATATATTACATGTATATATTCTATATATGTATACTAAAACAAAGAAGTGGTATAAATTATTTTGCAATAAATAGACTGATGCTGAAAATGAACAAAAATAACTAACCATTGTACACATGGAATGTGTATGCACTTTGCCCTCATTTCTCAGACCACAATATCAGGTTTACCTTGGGATGACTAGAACACAGTGTTAACACTCCTAAGTTCGACCTTGATTTGATTTAGAAAGCAAAGATCTCATTAAGAAATACAAATGGCTAACACTAACTCTAGCTTATTCTCTCCTCATTGCAAAAGTTATATGGAAAATCAACTAACATGAGGAAGGCTGTTTACATATCAGCCCTACCTAGAAGGTAGCCCTATCATAGAAGGTAGTTTTCTAACGTATCAGAAAATGTACATTGTGTACAGTGAACTGTCTTTCAAGGCACAGTGATCAAGGCTCAGTTCCATCTCTACCACTTTGCTGGGTGGTACTTAGCAGTCTGGAGTTTCATTTTCTCATTGACCAAACGAGATATAATTAAGCTACCCTCAACCTCATAACTGGTTGTTTGGAATCAAGCAATAAACATTATCAATGGGCATACCCAAATCTCCAGTTGCTGGAACAATAGTTGTGTTGTATTTTATTATTGCATTTTCACATGATTTTATAAATTATTCATTTATTTAAGCTTACTTTAAATTTTAAAGACAGAAATTCTAAAATGGGGAGATTCTGAAAGGAAAACAGAGACACACATAGAAAGAGATAATTTACGAATTATTTCATATCCAGATGGCCATAAGAACTGGGGCTGGGCCAAGCTGAAGCCAGCAGCCCACTCTGTACAGGTCTTCTACATGGTTTGTGGGAATCCAGCTACTTGATCTGTCTCCTCCTACAGAGTGCACTTAGAAAGACATTAAACTCTGGATCTCAGACTCTCACTTTAGTATGTGAAGCAGGCATTCCAACTTGCATTTGCATCACTGTGATGAATATTGGCATCAATTTTTCCATATTTAGTACTTACATCTTTAATGTTTTCTAGGATTTTTGGTCAATGCATGTTTTACTAGAAAACTGGATTTTTTGAAACATGAATTACATTAAATTGCTTCTTAATGACTCCCCACTCCTCCCAGGGTCTACTTTTATAGCCCTACTTTCTATTTTGTAATCCTTCCAATCAATTGGCAATCATCTTGTTGCTTTCTCTTACATCAACGGTAATCTTAAAATGAAAATCAAAATCACTATAGTTAAAACAGCATTAAAAGGATAAAATACATAGATGTATTAAAAAACTGGAACAACTTGTGTACTGAGAGCCAGAACACATATCTGAAAGAAAGTAGAGAATGAAGTGGACCAGGACGGAAACAGAGAGGGTTCAAGTAACTGCCTCCACACAGGGCCACCCATTTGAAAAGCTGTATACCACATACCGTCCCAAGAACTAGGAAACATAGGGGCAAGACCACAGCACCTGGATTACTACAAATTACCCAAATCATGCCTGCTCCAACTCCCAACAGTACAGAATATGTACACCTATTCCTCCTTCACTTGAAAAATGCAGAGAATATATGAGGTGCAAACTGAAGAATCCAGTATTAGGCCCACCCTAGTGAATCTTTTTATTGACAGAGCTCCACACTCCTACTACTAGGAATAATCCTGGATGTTATTTTGTCTTAAAAAGAATGAAAGTCTGACACACTACACAATATGATTGTGGACTTAATATATTATGCTAAATGAAATAAGACATGAACAACATGACAAATGTCATATGTTTTCATCTAACTGTCCCATTGTTAACTAGGGGCAAAGTTTCCATTTGTGGAAGGTTATATTGTTCTGGTAGTGGTTGCTCTACCAGATGAGTGTACTTCTGGCCAACTCTTCTGTATAACTCAAAAATGATTGAAATGATAATACTCCTGGCATGTGCATTTCACCTCAATAACAGTTCCATAACCAATGGGTGCTGTTACCTGAGTGTAATGATGAGTTATGACCAAATCCTGTGATACGTATTTTCCATAGCTGAAATTTTTAGATTCGCTATACCAGATTCCGATTACTTGGGACCATGAGTAAGGTAAAGCTGACATATAAATATTTTCTCCACAAAAGGTATCTGAAAAGAGGAAATAGTTCAGGGTCATACTCTCAAAAATTGGAGTTATTATACAAGGACACATTTCTCACTTATATTCTTTGGTGGCTGCACTGATTAGACAGCATCTTATGAGGCAAGACAAAATTGGTTGCATTCCACCTGGAAGTCTTTCTCCTTGGGAATGGTCTGGGGGTGACCAATGTAATGAACAATAAAAGTGGGAGATAATGAGTAATTCTTGAAATCAGAAGAGTTGACATTTCTGTGTTTGCAACCTCAAAGGTGATGGGGAAGGTTGAAAATCAATCAAGAGTGATACGCAGGTTCTTGAAAGCAGCCTCAACTAATTTCATCAAGTACTGAACTTAAAATGAATATTTGTTTAGCCATCCACTCATGGTGTGGATTCCTGACTGAAAATGGAGTTCAGAAATAATCTTCCTCTGTCTGGATCCAGGAAATTCGAGATTGCTAATTCACTGCTCAGTAATGTTGTTATAATTCACAATAGTCTGAATGTATAGATGGCATGTTAATACTTTTTAGTCATTTTATAGCAAAATATATGTTCAGAATTTAGGTATAGATTGATATCTGTGCAGAAAGCATTGATTGTTTTTAAACTAACACGATTTTGTATCCTAAAATAGGCTCTTTTTATGAGTTAAAGATATTTCTCTAGATAGTGCATTAAAATTGCATATGATATATTTCATATATGTACTTATTCATTTTCTAAAATCAAAGTAATGTCAATGGTGATTTGTGGGTAGCCAAGACTAACTAAATGTAAGAAAAATCTTATAATTGCCTGATTAAATTCTTTATCTACGTTGAGAGCCTTGATTTCTTCTCTCCTGAAGGTCAGAATTTAGAATCTAAACGTTTACGTATTCAAGTTGTAAACATCAGTTGAGAACAAAGCAGTTATCAGCACACAGCCCGGTACCAGCAAATGCAGTCAGGATGACGCAGCACTCCTCCTGCTTTCATTAACAGTCCCTGCCGTGTGTGTGTGTGTGTGTGTGTGTGTGTGTGTGTGTTGAAAAATAAGTCATACTGATATATACCTACTTTCAAGTCTCCTGTCAATTGGGTCACTCCCTTCCGGATCACAGTACTTTGACACAGTTCTGGCGTTTTCTGCAGCTTCTTCCCCCCAACTCTGCAGTAAAAGAAAATAAAAATCATCTTAATGAACATTTGCATGATAAGATTCTAGTTTGTTGCTTCTAAAACTCCAGGGATTGTGAAATCTAGAGTTACACAAATGAAACCATTTGGAATACACACAGACTGTAAATTAAAGGATAGAAAAAGCTAGTTAATGTGGATGTACATCAAAAGAAAACGGTGAAGTTTTACTCATATCAGAAAAATATTGCACAAGATTCTGGCCACCAGACCGATATGGAATTGCTGGGGAAACTAGACCTGAGAGAAGCACAAATAGAAATACCAATGAATATCATCTAGCTCCAGTTACAATGATTATTATCTGAAAATTAAAAAGCTAACAAATGCTGGCAAGATTGTGGAAAAAACAGTACCTTAATAAACTGTTGGTGGGAATGCAAATTGGTATAATCGCTGTGGAAAACCATATACAGAGTCATTAGAAAACTAAAAATGTAACTAACATATGGAAATGTGTCCTAAGGAGGTAAAATCAACATATCAAAAATGATACTGATGAACTCTTGTTTGCAATAGCAGAATTCATGATAACAAAGATATAAAATGAGCCTGAGGCCCGGCGCGGTGGCGCAAGTGGTTAAGGTCCTCGCCTCGCACGCCCGGAATCCCATATGGGCGCAGGTTCTAATCCCGGCAGCCCCGCTTCCCTTCCAGCTCCCTGCCTGTGGCCTGGGAAAGCAGTTGAGGACGGCCCACATCTTTGGGACCCTGCACCCGCGTGGGAGACCCTGAGGAGGCTCCTGGCTTAGGATTGGCATAGCATCGGCCGTTGCGGTCACTGGGGGAGTGAATCATCGGCCGGAAGATCTTCCTCTTTGTCTCTCCTCCTCTCTGTATATCTGACTTTCCAATAAAAACAAATAAATACTTAAAAATAAAATGAGCCTGGATATTTGTCAAGACACCACTGGATAAAAAATGAAGTATGTGTATTTAATGAAATATTACTAAGCCATGGAGAGGAATGCAATCCTTGAAATATTTGTGTCACAAACACCTCATTTTGTGATATTACCACTCTTGTTCAAGAAAAATTCATATTTATGCCTATGTGTACAATATCCGTATATGAAGTAGATGTGACAAAATTTTAAAACTTTGTTAAATTTCAGAACTAAAATACAAATTAATAGAAATCTAAAAAGAAATTCAATTAATTGAACTGGCCCTTGAATTGAAAAAATCCAAATTTGGTAATGACATTCGGATATACCTCCTCTTTCAGAAGTTGGAAAGAATTTAAGCTAGTTTTTCCAGGCAAACAACTGACTTAGAAATCTATCCTATTTATTTTGTAGCAGTTGAACTGCAAGCATTATTTTATGCATTAAACCTCACACTTAGCGTGACTCACACTTAGTTCCCAAATATTTGTATAGTAAGTATGGTGCCATAATCCCTGTATTCTGTTCATCGGACCTCAGTAAGTGCCGACTGTCATTAGGAGCAAGATCACAGCCAAATCACTTCCTCAAATAATGAATAACAGTAAGAACTGAGACTCGATGCCTTTGCGTATTTTTTCACTTTAGCCTCACAACAGTATACAAAGAAGGTGCTGCTATTTCTTACGTGTGAAAAGTGAGGTAAATGAGCAATGAACATTTTGAACAGCTTTTAAGGAACACGCTGCCAAAAATAACATAGAAGGAATTTAAATTCAAATATTTTGGCTACAAAAAGTGTGTTCTAAATACTGCATGAATGTTGACCGTGCTGGGCAGGCGACGGGGGAAGCTCTGGGTCAGTTAATGTGATAGTGTGGCTAATGGTGTTCTAACAGTCTATACAACCACTTAAGAGCCCGCCCTTTTATCTGAATATAACATAGTAATAACAAAAGCTGTAGAGTTTGTTTTATTACTATTATTAATTACATTGCATTGTGTGACACAGTTTCATAGGCTCTGGGATACCTCCAACCCCTCAATTTGTTTTGTCTGTCATTCAGCTACTACTACTGAGAATGTGTATGCTGCCATCTACTGGCACTTCCCTGGAATTAACCTTCAGGTTGTTGAAATCTCTAAAAAGTACTAGAAACATACTAGAAGCCTGGCACTGGGGAAAAACATGGTCTCCTAGGTGTTGATTGTTTCTTACAAAGCATAAAGAATTTCAGTGATGGATATGTGTAACTGAGGAGGCAGAGATGACACAGCACGCCTCATCTACACAAAACATACATTATTTCCAAATTTTGCTAGTCTGGATAGTCTAAGTTTCAGGGAAGGAAGCTCAGATTACCCATAAATCTGAGAGAGATAAATGTGAGGTTCATCACCTATATTACCCATGTCTTCACCCAATTTTTTTTGTGTGTGTAAAAGAGTATGCCAAGTGTCTGGTGCAATAGCATATTGGTTGAAGTCCTCGCCTTGAGCCCGACGGGATTCCATATGGTCACTGGTTCTAATCCCTGCAGTCCCACTTGTCATCCAGCTCCCTGATTGTGGCCCAGGAAAGCATTCGAGGACGAATCAAAGCCTTGGGACCCTGCACCCGCCTGGGAGACCCAGAGGAAGTTCCTGGCCACTGGCTTCGGATTGGCCCAGCTCCAGTCATTGCAGCCACTTGGGGAGAGAACCGTGGGACGGAAAATCTTCCTCTTTGTCTCTCCTCCTTTCTGTTCCATTTGCCTTTCCAATTAAAATAAATACATTTTTTAAGAGTGTCCCAGGTTTATATCAGAAAGGCTGCTTCTCCATGATGTTATGGATTGCTAAGACTAGTGAATAGATTCATCACTATTGTTTGGAAACACCAGTTGGGCATCTTTTTTTTTAAACATTCATTTTTATTATTTTTTCATTGGAAAGGTGGATATACAGAGAGGAGAGACAGAGAGGAAGATCTTACGTCCAATGATTCACTCCCCAAGTGAGCGCAACGGCCGGTACTATGCCGATCCAAAGCCAGGAGCCTCTTCCGGGTCTCCCACGCGGGTGCAGGTTCCCAAAGCTTTGGGCCGTCCTCCCCTGCTTTCCCAGGCCACAGGCAGGGAGCTGGAAGGGAAGCGGGGCTGCCGGGATTAGAACCGGTGCCCATATGGGATCCCGGGCATGCAAGGCGAGGACCTTTAACCACTTGCGCCACCGCGCCAGGCCCACCAGTTGGACATCTTAACTCTTCAATGCACTCTGTCCAGTGAGGCTAACTATGAAAATCTTTGACAATTTGTCAGTGTAAGTTTGTTGTGCATGCTGGCAGCAGTTGTGTGAGCTGGGAATGTATGGTGGTCTCCATGTCAGACTTCTTGCACCAGGTTCTTGGAGTATAAGACTTTAGAGTTACTCGGGTGCTTCTCCAGTACAGTAAAACTGAAGAAGCCCTGTTCTAGGTCTTTAAGAATGAAGTTGCACTGCCTGAACCAGAATTGTTTGATTGTGGTCAACAGAACGTACAACTGTGGGAAATTACCTTATTAGCCCTAGGCTTCCTTTCTGCCTGTCATTGATCTGTTGTGACCTACAGACTTTTCTCACTAACTGAATAAAATCTTAGTAAACGCCTTTATTTTTACTATAATCGCCAACATACAGTGCTTTTTTCTTACCATCTTCAGCATGTTGCTGGCTTCAGGAATCACTTTTCTCCTGAGGGTGTTGTGCAGATTCACGATTTCTTCCTGGACAGCTGTTGATTCAGTCAGCAGGGTTTTTAAAGCTGCTTCATGCTGTTATTAGAAAGTTACTAATTAGTGCAACTGCTTTTGAATGGATTTTTGTCAAATATATTGGTTGCAGATTTATATACTATTTATATTGAATGAATGTTGATCTTCAGCATTTTTGAGTTGATGTTTCTCAGTAGATCAGATAATATTTTCCATTGTGAATATTTTTTAACAGTTTATTTATTGGAACGTCAGTGTGACAGAGAAAGGGAAGACGGAGGAGGAAGAGTTCTCCCAACCACTGTTTTCCTTCCTAGTGGCTGCAATGTCAGGATGGACAGGCTGAAGGCAGGAGCCTTACAGTGGTCCAAGTGCTTAGATCATCTTCCACTCCCTCCCAAGACGCATTCGCAGGATGCTGGATTGCCAAGTGGAGTCGCTAGACTTTGAAGCAGCATACCAGTCTAGGGTCATTCCAGTGTAAGCTTAACATGCTATGCCAAAATGTCCACTCCTAGTGTTTTTGTTTTGTCAAGTCAAGTGACAACAACAGAAAGAAAGAGAAGGAGAGGGAGAAAGGAAGAGTGAGAGAGAGAAGAATCTTCCTACTCTTTCAATCCCCAAATGATTGCAACAGACGGGGCTAATTCAGCTCCATGCCAGGAGCCTATAAATCCATGCTGCATCTCAGGTACGTGAGCCATCATCTGTTTAGTTCCCAGGTGCGTTTACAGGCGGCTGGATTGAAAATGGAATAGCACTGACAGCAGTGGACTAACTGTGCAGCAGTGCTGGATTCCTGTCCTTAGTTCAGAGGATTTTGAATGTTACAATGATAACATACTAATGTTCAGAATCACAATCTGGTACATTTTTTATTACAGTTTTTAAAACTTAGGAATGAATTTGTAGGGTAGGCTGAAACATGTTTCATTTTAAATAGGAAGTGCAGTGGAGCGTGTATTGAAGTCATGTTTTACAGACTCCTCTTTCTTGCCTCATCCTTCCCTTCACCAGTCTCCAAGCAAGAATATAGCTGCTTTTCAATTAAAACACTTGTGTTTGAATCCTTGTCTAGCTGTATATGCCTGGGAAATTCAATAATGAAAAGATGACTATTGAATATATATCTTCAACCGTATCCACTTAGCTGCTTTTTCTAATATTTGTTTAGGAATACAATAGTGTCTGCAAATGAGCATGTTCAGAAACAAAAAGGAAACATAAATTAATCTACAATTCTAGAACTTGCGATATTTAACTTAAATTTTATTTTGCTGCTTTATAAGCAGGAAAAATACATAGCCAAAACTTTTAGTTCAACATTAACTGTTACAGAAGGCATTTTTGTATGTGCTAAACCTCATCTACCTCATCATTTTTTTTCACCTCGTCTTTTATTTTAAATGGCAAAACGGATGCAGTGTTATTTGCCTGATATATGCTTTTTTCCCAAGCTATGGCAGGACTTTCATCAAAATTCATTCACAGATATAATTCCAAACATGGAAATAGTCTGTTTATAGTTGTTTAATGCTTTTATTAACACATTTATTTATTTGAGAGGAAGAGAGAGACAAGGCAGAGAGAGGAAGAGAAAAATGTTCCTATATACTGATTCTTCTCCAATCCTGATATTGTCCCCAGCTAAGCCTGAAGCTTAGATTCAGGAATTCAATCTAGGATTCCCAGGGACCTAATTACTTGAGCCAATAGTGCTGCCTCACAGATTTCATATTAACAGGGAGATGGAGTCAAAGACAGGTATGAGAAGTTGGTATTGCATTATCTAAATTTCTGGGCATGTACAAAAAGCAGACTAAGCACCCACACCTGTGACTCACACGAACAGTTAGAGCATATACAGAGGGCAGAAATAATGGACTGTAGAAGGTCCTCTAGAGTTTGCTGCTTTGATGTCATTTCCTCAAAAACATCTTGCGGCACCACTTTCCGCTCAGCAAGGTGCTCTGGGCTGGATTACAGCACAGCTTTCTGATTCAAATCATTCCATATATTATTTCCATATCATATCTCTACTTACTCCTCTGGAAATTTCTGCTCCAGTGAAACTTCTGCTATTTACTTCTATCTCCTCATCCCTCACCGTTTAGTCTCCAGGTATGGCTTCTTTCTCATTTCCTTTTATATTCTGTTCAGAAATTAATTTTCTGAAATATTTATCATGTACCCACAATTTTTCCCACTGTCATCTTCTTTGATCCTTGAACTCTTCCCCCTTTAGGACTTACCTCATATCCTCTTCTGCTTCTAATGCTGATGTGACCCTCAACTGTATTTTATAATGATAACCAAATGTCACAGCTCCCAAACCGCTAGCCACAACATTGTCCTGTTTGCTCAGAATGTCTCCTAAATTGCTAAGACAGGCCACTCTATCTCCAACAAAGACTCTATTTTTAGCTCATTCTGCATTTTTTCTTGGTCTTGCCTTTGTATAATACACCTTTTTAAAAATTAGGCAGCTTTTCTGAAATACCGATCCAATTTCTGGTCCCTCACACTTAGAAGTATCTGATTTGGGAATATATCAACTTTGGAGGACAGTAGCAATCCCCCTGGCTATGCTATCTGTTGAGAATTTCCAGAAAACATATTCCACAAAATAAGGCACTGATGTCACTCCAACTTAGTCTGACTATCCTCAAATTATCCTTTTATTTTGCTCTTTAACTCTGCTCAGCAACCTGGTAAATGCATTTACTTTGTCTAAAACACCATTAGAAACTTTGTACTCTTCCCCTATTTCTGTGTATTTCTCTCAGTAGATTAATAGTCTATTGTTCTCGGTAAGTTTTGATTTCTTTTCCTGTGTTACCAACCAACCTATTGTTTCTTCCATTTTTGTGGTACAAGAGAATGGGTCATTCTTCTTAAGCTTAGTTCCCCAACCAGTGCTTTCGTTATTTCATTGTTTTCCATCTTTGCCCAAATCTCATGTTATTCTATTTATTTGCATTCTATTTAGCTTCACCCACCCTCTCTTTTTAGCCCATCCAAATGGCGTCTAATCCTGATTATGACACTTGTATTTTAAAATGATAACTTCCCTTACCTACTTTCCCACTCAAATGTTATTATATTGCCTTCCCTTCCAAGGGAAGGATTAGCTAATTGAGCCATTGTGCCAGGCCCTCTAATATTTTTTTCTAAATGTATTTGTCCAGGACCTGAGGCAGTAGCCTTGTGACTAAAGTCCTTGCCTTGTATGTGTCAGGATCCCATACAGGTGCTGGTTTGTGTCCTGGATAATCCACTTCCCATCAAACTCCCTGTTTGTGGCCTGAGAAAGCAGTCAAGGACGGCCCAAAACCTTGGGACCATGCACACATGTGGCAGATCCATAAGAAGCTCCAGGAACCTGGCTTTGAATCAGCTCAGCTCTGGCCACTGTGGCCACTTGGAGATTGAACCAGCAGATGGAAGATATTTCTCTCTGTCTCACCTTCTCTCTGCTTTTCCAATAAAAATAAAATAACTTTAAAAAAATAAAATGCCTTTGTCCTACCTGATTTACTGATTTTCTTGACTGCAGTTTCTTGGTGTGGGGAGCATCAGGGTTTCTTCACTGTCTCACCTTGCAGACTTCTCTTCCGACATGCCTTTTGCTCGGCTTCTTGCAAGCCCCCCAGAAATCACAACTCACAGAGGATGCTTTGCTGTTTCTGTGTTCTTTCTCCCATCTCTCATCCAATATTTCAAAATCTGTTCTCTAGTCATCCATCAGAGTAAAGACATTAAAACATACGGAATTCGCTGCTCTGTGTGAATCTTTAATGTCTGTGAGAGGGCATTTTAATTTCTTGCCCTTTGTTGAGCGTATGTTCCTTCTTTATCTCAGTCACGGAGCGTTTATTTAAGGTGTCCCAATGTGCCAGTCTCCATCCTGCCTTAGAACACGCGCCCTCAAGTGCACTTTTAACAGCATGTGCACATCATTTCACCTTGCAAGGTCAACGTGTGTTTGGGTTTCAGGCCCACTGTGTCCTCAGGGAAGTCTCGAATTACCTCGAAAAGATCAGACCCCCTTTTTATTTTAGTAATTTTGATGCATTGATGTGTTATAGTGAGAAAACTTATAACTCACGGTATTCTGACAATCTTGATTGCCATTATTTGATCCTTTTATTATGCAACTTAAATCCTAAAATCAAATAATGATAACTACTTGTTACACAGAGTTGAGGCCTTTGGTGGTTAAGATTGGATTTAATCAGGGGTTTGTCCAACTAGACTGCTGGTCTCAGACCCTGGTCCCAGGGAAAATCATCGGATGTGTGGTCTGACCTTGGAGAGCATGTACTGGGGCTGAGCCTCCTCAGCTGCTGCTACCTGTGTGGTGGACAGTATGTCCAGATGCACACACGGGAACTGCTGGCCATTGTCCATGCCAGCAGGGGATGTCAAGTGCCTCATCAGAGGATGAAAAGCAGAGAAGTTTGGATAATTCTCCTGACCAAGCTCCGCAGTATGCGCTTGGGTCTACAGATACAGTAAAGTGTATTGATTTGTCAATCAGTAGACCTTGGAACGATTTTCTCAACCCTAAAACAACAAAACTAACATGGATGAAAGACCTAAACCTACATCCAGAAACCTTCAAACTCTTGCAAGAAAATGTAGGAAATACCCTGCAAGACCTAGGAGTAGGTTCCGACTTTCTAAGAAGGACACCAAAAGCAATAGCAGTTGAGAACAGAATAAACAAATGGGACCTCATCAAACTAAGAAGCTTCCTGTACAGCAAGGGAAACAATCAACAAAGTAAAAAAGCAACCCACAGAGTGGGAAGAAATCTTTGCAACACAAATAGCCGATAGGGGCGAATTTTCCAGATATACAAAGAACTTCAAAACAACCAAAAATCCAAAACAAAACAAGCCACGTCAGAACTGGGCACGGGAAATGGGCAAACATTTCACAAAGGAACCAAGTCCAAATGGCAAACAAACATATGAAAAAATGCTCCAGCTTCCTAGCAATAAGGGAAATCCAAATTAAAAACATCGATGAGGTACCACTAACACCAGCAAGACGGGCCCCACATAAACAAGACCACCAACGGACGCTGCGGCGAGGATGCGGGGAAAAGGGAACCCTACTCCACTGCTGTGGAGCAGCAAATTGTACAGCCTCTAGGAAACCAGTCTGGAGAACACTCACACAAACTCAAAATCGGCATACTATATGAACCAGCAATAGCACTCCTAGGAATAGATCCAAAACACCTGTTTTATTACGACAAACAACAGGCATCCATATGTTCATGCAGCACAATCAGTAAGTGCAAAAAACATGAAGCAAACCAAAATGCCCATCAGCAGAGATTGGATAAGAAAGCTTTGGTTCATCTACTGTCCATGGAATACCTACTCATCTATTAAAAAAAACAAAATGCAGTTTCTTTGTGGCTAAAATGGGCACAACAGGAAACGATAATGCTAAGGGAATTGAGCGAAACCCAAAAGATTAATACACATGTTTTTCCTTGATTTACCCTGTAATTTTTTTGTATGGTTGTTTGTTATTTTTGAACCTGTCATTGAATATCTGTCTCAACCCAGATAGTGTTCGAAGAAGGAACTTGCATTATTTTTAACATATTGTTTACCCAATACATGTCAATTAATCCCATAATGTTGTATATTGAGACTGGAGTCCTTGTTGGGGCTTTAACCGACCGATCTTTACTCTGTTAGACCTATCTTCAGACTCATAGAAGGTCTCCCCAAGAGGCCACTGAAACTTATCTGACAATAAGGACGCTGACTTTATGCTAGCATGTGTTTGCAAGCAATGAATCTCAAATGAACTTGAACTAGTTATGCAACAAGGTGGAGAATCCCCCATGGGGGAGGGTAAGGAGGGGTGGGGGGAATCCCCAGCGCCTATAAAACTGTACTACATAATACAATGTAAGCAACAATAAAAAAAAAAACACTTAAATAATACCCTCAGAACACTCTTCTCCACATTGGGGTCTCTGAGGCACCATTGAATGACCACCCACTGTCACTGGGGGCTGATGAGGCTTGACAACAAGAAATGGCCCCCTCCCTATTCCCCTACAGACACGGGAGAAAAAAATATGAAACATTTATCAGACCCGCTTTCCTCCATACCTGAACATCTCCACCCTAATCAGAGGCTCACATAAGCATGAACCTCTCAATTATGTAAGGAATATTTTAAAAAATTAAAAATTAAACTGATGGGATGAGATCATTCAGATAAACCACTTATGATTGAATCTCAGTGACTTTAAAAAGGGAGACTGATCACAGATGATATTAGTTCCGTCTCTTGCCTGATAATGGACTGCACACTTTGAACTCTGTCAGCAAGAATCCGGTTATCAGAGGTCAAATCGATGACCACCCCACTCCAACTTTGGATTTTGCATGCTCAGATCCTATGAAACAAAATAGCCTCTCTGCTGTATAAGGTAACCAGTCTGAAGCATTTTGTTATGGCAATAAAGGCTAAATGATACATTCAACTTCTCTAGGAGTAAATGAAGCAGAACAGAAACAAACAAAAAAGTTGTTGGAGTTTACATTTCATATTAAAAATGTATGAATTATGGACAGATTTGATGAAGTAGTTCTTATATTCCTAGTTTTTTATTTTGAGATTTTTGTCACAATTATTATTATTATTTATAATGAAAAATGCACAGACCCATGAAACTATATACTGATGAGATTTGATTTCAGCACACACCCACGCTTTATCATTAAACCCTGGTGGAATGCCTTCACTTCACTATTCTGTTTTGTTCTTTTCTCTGTAGTAGCACATTAAGAATGATATTCTTATAATAGGATTATTGGAAGAACTAAAGGAATAATTGGTGAATCACCCTCATAACTGTGCTCACAGCCCTTCTGTTGTACAGGGTTAAATGTTATCTTTATCTATAAAGTAATTTGAAGAAACATATAATCATTCCATACTCTTAGGGTCAAAACAGGCAGGAAGCCAGCAACAGCAGCCAAACACAAGAAGTATTTCATTGCCAATCCTGAAAAGAAAAGTAACACCATTTTATATTACTTTCAATTCATGCAATAATGCTTTCTATTAAAGCCTTTAAAACTACTTTTACACATGTTTGGATTTCTTGCAATAAAAGGCTCCCACAGTTTCAGATTAAATATATTATTTAATAATAGAGAAATGTGGAGCTATGCTTAGAAGAATAATGGATTCCCCGAAATAAAGTTGTCTTCATTGTTTTTAGAATATTTTATTCATTCATTCATTCATTCATTCATTCATTTATTTAGATATTTCTTCCATATGCTAGTTTACTCCCCTAATGGCCACGATGGTCTGAGCTGGAGCCAGAAGATTCTTCTGGGTACTCAATGAGGATACAGAAACCCAAGGACTTGGGCCACCATCTGCTGGTTTTCCAGATTGCTAAACTGGGAGATGGAAGGGGAATGGAGCAGCTGGGAGGCAAACAGTTGTCCACGTGGGATGCTGGTACTGCAGTCAGGGGACTAACTTGCTATACCGTTATATTGACCCCAATTTTTAGAACCTTTGAATACGCTATGCTGTGAAGCAAAGTAGCAGATGTGATTCAAATTGCAAATGAAGTGATTGATTTGAAGTGGGACTATTATTATAGATTACAAAAAGATACAATGTAAATTCCGAGGTACTTAAACCCGAGAGTCAGAGTCAGAAGGGAAAATGCCAGTGATGCAATTTGGCTTCTGAATAGCAAAGGACCACAAGCTAAGGCAAGCGGTCTCTGGCAGTGGGAAGTCTAAGCCACACAGATCCCTCCAGAGTTCCTTTGCTGACCCCTTGATTTTCATGCAGTGCGAGTCCATCTGATTTTTTCATCTCACAAACCACAAAATACTAAAACATGCTTTAAGAAGCCAATGTTAAGGAAATCTGTGCAAGAGGACACTAACATGAAATCACAGCCAGGCGAGATTGGAATTCCCCATGCTTATAGAGAAGTGATGTTAGTAATTTGTATATTTGACTTGAAATATGTTTTACTAGCTGAAAATAATTCTGTGAGTAATTATTATTGTGAGTCAGGAAAAGAAAAGTAACCGATCTTCCCCTTTATTTTCCTTGATACTGTTAGCTAACACAAGGATGATAATAAATTTAAGTTTCACAATTAAACCTGGCAACTTCTCATATTTACCAAGAGGTTTTTTTTTTTTTGTATTTGTCATGCTACTTAAGAAGCAGAAGTGGCTTTGTTTCTCATTATACAAAAAATAATATTTTATGGACCAAGGGAATGATTTGCACTACATACCTTTTAATTTACCATTGCTCACAAACTTTCCCAGCACTCTGCTTCACACAGTGGATAAGAGGAGAATTCCACAAATCTGTACTTTCAGGGAACATATTCATCCAAACAATCGCAGCTTATTTTTCTTTTATTTTAAAATTTTACTTCTTTTTATTGCTATCATTTTATGATATAGTTCCATAGGCCATGGGGATTCTTTTATCTCCTCCCCAATTCCCTCCCTTCCTCTGAGTTCCACTATATCATTAATATAGTACAGTTCTTCATACACAGTCATATGTCCATCAATGTGGGCATGGACAATGGCAGAGAGTCCAGCATCCTACTGTCAAGATCTAGAAAACAGTTTCATTGGGAGTCTATCTTTAGTCTGGAAGTGGAGATGCATACTGAATTGTATCTTCACATCTGGATATAATAGTCTCCATTGCACAGTTACTATACATCCCCTTAAAAGAAAATCCACCAAACGAAATCAACAGGAAGAAAAAAAAAAAGAAATCAACAACACTATGAAGTTAAAAAGCATACTACTGAGTGACTAATATGTCACTGAAGAAATGAAAATCAAAAACCTTCTTAAAGAAAATGATACTACTGTATGATCTATGAGTCACTGAAGAATTTAATCAGAAGAAAGTGTTCTGAAGAGGTGAAACTAACAAAAAAAAATCAAAGTCCATGAGATATAGTTGCCGCTGATCTTTGTTGGTGAAATAAGTCTCCTGTAGGCAACATATAAATGGGTTTTGTTTTGTAATCCAATCTACGAATACATGACATTTGAAAAGTTTAAGCCATTTGCATTCATGGTTAATATGAATTGGTGATAATTTAGTCCTGTCATTTTAGTAATGGGTTATTCATTGATTGAGTCTTCTGTTATTATTTTACTGCGGTGTTCGCATTTGCTTTTGGCTTTGATGGGAGCTATTCCTTTTATCAGTCAAGAAAATATCTTTAAATATCTTTTGTAGGGCAGGTGTGCAAGAGGCATATTCCTTTAACTTTTCTGTACTGTGAAAAATTTTTATTTTATTTTCAAAGACAAAGGGAAGTTTTGCTGGGTATGATATCCTGGGCCGACAATTTTTTGCTTTTAGAATGTGGAATATGTGGCTCCATTCTCCCCTGGCCTGTAAAGTTTCCTGTGATTGGTCTCCTGTGAGCTTAATTGGCATTCCTTTATATGTCAGTTGATTATATACACGCGCACATTTATGGATCTCATCCTTATTTTTACTTGAAGAGAGCTGGATTGTCATGTGTCACAGTGAAGATTACTTTTGTTCAAGCCTGTTAGGAGTTCTGTGCCCCTCCTGGATGTTGTTCCCCAATTCTTTCTCTAAATTATGGAAATTTTCCCTCATTATTTCATTGCATACACATTTAACCCCAGCTTCTCTTTCTGCACCTTCTGCGACTCCCATAACTCTTAAATTAGGCCTTTTAATTGTGTCTTTCAATTCATTAATTTTTTTTTTTTTTTTTTTGCCTGATCCAGCTCTGGTTCCACCACTTTTTTTTCCACGTTTTTTTTTTTTTTGCCACCATATATTTTTATTTTTTTTTTACAAGATATCCTAAAATCTGGGAAGTTGTAATTGAGAGAGAAAACCAGCTTCATACCAAAAATACACTTTCAATTACTTTATCAAGCAAATAAAAACAATCTTCATTTATTTGCTATTAATGTACATGAAAAATTTAACTGTAGATGAGATTTAATTAAGCACACATACAAATGATACATATGAATGTCCAGTAACAAAAGTAAAAATAAATAGCAACAATAACACTTTGGGAAAAATAATGTACATTTTAGCTGTGGAAAATACAATTCTTAATTATATATACACTTTTATACTCAATAAAATTGCACAAAACATGGAACCAATAAAGCATAATATTTATAGCATGTAATACTACATCCTAGGCAGTTGCTCCTGAATGCCAGGAAATAAAGCACTTCAGTCTGTAATATAATAAAAGGTATGTAGTTCTGTTGGAGAAAGACAGTCTTCCTCAACTCGCTTTAACCTGTAGTATCCTACAAAAGGCTGTACAGGAAATTTCACAAAAAGAAATATTTAATAATTGTCATGCCCACTTCATGCTGACTACACAGCCAAAAATGGGCTTCAAACTAAACTTGTGGTCATTTAATATTTTCAATATTTTTTATATACTGAAGATCATTTCTTTGTTCTACAAAAACACTTTGTGTTTAATCATGATTAGCAATCTGAGCACAAGAAAAATTCTGGCCAAATGGAGTCACTTCTCACTTACCTTATTTTCTTGAATAAAAGATTTCAGGAGATAAGAATTTATAGACAAAAACCCTTATCATTGAACACTATCCTCCTGTTATCCCATAATATGGCTTTGTATTCAACCATGCAGGTCAATACCCAAATGCTCTTACTTTCAATTTTGGTTGTATATTTCTTATATGAAATAACCCCAAGGCTTAGCAGTTTGAAACATTAAATATATTTGCTCACCCTTTCTGGAGATCAGAAGTTCTACAATGTCATGACTGAGCAGTTTTGGGTTAAATCTGCTTAGCTGTAATGATGTTAGGGCTACATATTTTCCTCTCTGATGGCTTAATTGCTTTCAGGTTGATGCACTCAAATGGCTTGCAGGCTGACTTTGTTCTTTGGTGCAGAGGTTTAGTCCTTCTCCAGAATGGGCTTCTTTGATAGTCTGAGACCATGTCATGGACCTGCTGAAGTGCACAACAGCACAGGAAGCAGCAGTGTGTTCTAGCAAACCAGTTGAGAAGCTGCTTTTCATGATCAAAGACAAACTTGATTCAGTTAGTAAAGAGACCACAGCAGGGCTTAAGTATCAGAAGACTAGGATTATTGTAGACATCATAGAAATTGCTCTCAAACTCCTACACTCTTAACTCAGAAACTGGCTTTCCGTATCTTATTTAAAGAAAGGCTTAGATTTTCTATCAGGAGGACATCAGTAGAAGCTGATGTTTGTCAAGAGTAAATGTTTTTCTATATCACATGCAAAAACAGGTGGAAAACAGGTGTGGAGGTTTAAAGGTTGCTATCCCTGCTAAAAATCATTTATTGGAACATAAAACTTAATGCAACCATATTAGAAAATGGAACCTTCTGGGAAACCATATACTATGCAGGGTGAGGTCTCATTGCAACAGGGTGAAATATTACAGAGTGAGTGCATACAACAGTCAGCATTGGGTTAGATTGACCCTTCTGCCCTAAGGAGGAACCAACTCCTAGGAACTGGGCCCCAAGAAAGGAGGAACCAGGAACTGGGAACTGAACCCCGTGAAAATGGAACCAATTTCCAAGAAGTTAAACTGTAGAATTTCCCATCGTGCTCTAACCTGCTTTATTGTAGTTTTTATATCCTTGCTGGTTTATTTGCCAGCATAAGGATCAGTAGAATGTGAGTTTCTCCCTTAGATGCTCACTGCCACGACAGCTCAGGTTTGTCGCCTTCAGAACCGTTCTTAGCGGGGACGGTCACTGGTGGTTAATAAAACTGCCCAAATTTTAAATTGACTTTGGCGGTGTTTTATACAGCATGCCCCATAACATCATGAATGGAATTACTGTCCTCATAAAAGGGGTTGTAGGATGTGGTTTTATCCCTTCCGCCATTTGCAGACATAACTAGAGGGTATATCAGGTATGACAAATTGGCTCATCACCAGACTTTGAATATGACAATGCCTTTAACTTGGACTTCTCTGTCTTCAGG